CATCACTGCTCCATCTCCTCTTCCTCTTCTGATGCCTTCGCTCCCTCTCTCTGTTGGAGGCCTTCATGTTCACTCGCTGTTGTTTCCTTGTTGCCTTTGAGCCAGGCGCCAGGAGGAGGGGGAGGGGTCAATCACGCTGTTTTTGTGACAACCAACAACACACACACACACACACACACACACACACAGAGGAGGTCAGAGTTAAAACAAACACTGACATATGATCTTCAATGTTTCAGAGAACAGACAACAAACTGATGATGATGAACTTTACTCTTCATCACTTCACCAGAATGACCTGCTGTGAATCAGTGAATCAGTGAACTGGTGAATGGAGCTTGTTGTTGTTTGAAACCTGCTCTTCATCCCTCAGTCACAGTTTGTCTTCCTGTGAATCAGCTGCTCTGAGATCAGTTTGTAGTCACTGGACTGAAACATTAATGGGACAGTTCACACGTTCACACGTTCACACGTTGACATGTTCACATGTTGTGCTGTGTGAGGCACTGATCCACAGTCAGTGTGTTTCCTACAGCAGACGTCAGTCAGCAGTTTGGAGTCTGACATGGAGGATGAAGGATGTCCTGCTGTGGGCGGAGTCAGAAACTAAATGTGTTTTAGACTCCTTAAAAATCATCCTCAGTTTAAGTGTACGTTATATTGAGCATATTTTCACTGCTTCATCTTAATGTCACACTGATGATAGACGGGACAATGAAGCTGTTTTCTCTCTCGTCACAGCCAGACTGTCCGGCAGCAGCAGACCAGCAGCTCCTGAGTTCACTCATGTTAAATCACTGGTTTTCTTAATGGAGTCTGGCTGTGACGAGAGACAGATAGAAGACTCAGACTGTTTCCATGACGACAGAGGAAACAGATTCTTTTAAAATCCCTGTAAACATGTCAGTGTGAGTGAAATGGTCCTGCAGTGAATGTGTCACAGTGGGACTAACACACCCAGATCATGTGACTCCTGCATGTATACAGTCAATCAGACCCAAACTGGCCGAGGCGCTCTGAGCATGCTCCACAGTTTCCGCCCCGGGCTTTGACCCGGAAGTCCAATAGCATTAAATGTGTAAGAGAAGAAGAAGCCGGTAACAACATGGAGAAATCTACATCCAGAGCCGTGACTTTTTGGACG